CGCTTCACTGGTCACTTTACCTTCTGCCAAAAGGCCGTCCAGCGTCGGGAGCCTCCCCGCAAGAAGCAACGCACCGCCTAGACCCATTTACGGTCTCCAACTTTCCTTTTCTGATTTGTACCATTATCGCCCCACGCTCATGACTCTTATTCGTACGTCCCTCCATCCGCATTGTGTCTCGCGCTGACAATCGCTCCAGTATTCCCTCCTAATTGTGCCCGCATGCATCTACGCCTCAGGTACCTGCATCGTCGCATCCAGTAGTTAGTATTTAGTAGTCCGTGAATATAGCATTGATTTTTTGACCAATGAGCGTCGGTGAACGATTTGGTCGTTATTCTGCGTCTTCTCAAACGTGCTTTCTGAGTAGATTCGTCTTTTTTCTTTAATGTTGCTTCAAGTATCCCATGTTACGGTCGAATTCTCGCCCAAGTAATGGATTAGTTCAAATAAAATAGTCGCCGCCCCCAGGCATGATTGGATCAAGGCATCAACGGGCGCTTGACAAGCGCAGTTGCTGGTTTTGTCTCTCCTTCCCCTCTACCACACTACACTTGTCCCTGAATTCTTTCGGTACTGGAATCAAAATGGCACCTCACTGCACTCGTCACGGCGGAAAATTACGTCTCTTGGCGCCCGGAATGCCAGTCGAGATCCTTCACGAAATCACCTCTCATCTAGCCTCCATTTCGGGATCAGGAATCCTATTCCCTGCAAGAGAGGTTATGCCCTCTCCGGCAACTACTCGAGCGTCCCGTGACACATCGTGAATTGGCCGCGACCAGCAGACGACTGCGCGACGTGTTTCTGGCGGCCGCCTGGAAACGGTTTGAAGTTTGCGCGAGCCTAAAGTTTGGGAGGGTTACAAGTTCAAAAAACGCCAATATCATCAGCTGGATCTCCATAACAGGTGGTCGAACGATCTCGCCCTGGATCTTGCTCGTGAACTTGTCCAGCAAATGGAGATTGTGACCCCGGCCCTCGCGCAGGAAGTTAGGTTCGTCGCCTTTCTTTAGTAGTTCAGGCATTTATTCATGGATTTTACTTTCCTCTCGTGCAGAATTATCACCGCGGCACTTGCAGAGGCCTCCGCTTCCACAACATTTTCGGAATTCTGTAAATTTCTGGGCATGCTTCCCAACCTCGAAAATTCGCTACGCACTTGGCGGATCCAGGGGCACCATACATTTCCCTCGCTCCGCACACTTGAGCTACGTGATACAGTACTCGATTTCGTTCAATGTTGTCCAAATGTCGAGCGTGTCGCCACACGCGCGATGTTCTCAGCAAACTTGGCTCCAGAGCTTAAATTATCCTGAACGCCAAGCATCTCTCGGAGCCTTCAGCCTCTGGGAGAACTTTTTTTGGGTTAGGATTCACACCAGCATGTTTTATCCGGCGAACTTGTCTCGGCCGCTGGAGGAGGAGGAGGAGGAGGTTGTATTACCGCTGTGGTCCCATTGAGGAACATGCGGCTACCGTACCTACATACATGCCTCTACTGTATGCTACGGTCATTTACCCCTGGTGTCGATACGATAAGTCATTGTAGAACCTTCTCACAACACAGCTGATAGTAAAAAGGAATCATCTCACCAAACAAATGCCAATGGTTGAATTCGGACGCGCATGTGCTACTGGGCATTCCAAAAGGCATCGGGTGGATTTATAGAGACAGAATTGCCGTCATCAAGTTTGGTTGACTGTCAATTTTATCCCTGCCAGAGAATGGACTTCTGCATATTTGAGTCCTGTATCAACATACACTCCCAACTCGGAGGTCAGGTTGCCATCGGGAAAAGATGTTAATATTTACTCTGGGTATAGAGGCCATATAATGGAAATTTACGACTTGAGTAATGTATTCTCGTGCTCTTGTTCAGCTTCGCTTCGACCAGGCGTACCGGAAACGAACTGGCAACTTCGCCGACGGTAAAGGAACGTAGATCGTTGATCGTTGATCAATGTCGACATTGGTGGAGCGGCGAGGGGCGGAAGCGAGACAGGGCTCGTCTTAGACCGACCCCTGTGCTGATCCGCAGTAAAGGGGCAGCAGCGACGTCGTCTCGTCGCTGTCCGAGACGCCCCGACTATCGCGACTGTGTCCATCCACACTCGGAGCAACACCGGGCTAAGACGAGGGTGTGCTGGTGACCGGACAGGGCTAGAATAGTCTTTATTATGGACAAATGTGCGTGCGTTGATTGGCCAGTGCTCGTGCCTTGTACTGATCCCGTGCGGCACTCGTACGGCAGGCTACCCTTTATACGCTTAATCTTGACGTTTGCCGTGCGATGAGGGCCGAGGTACTATTCTGGTTCCCGGAGCAGCAGTTGAATTTCAGCCTACATCGTTACAGGGACTCCGATATTTTCCGACGTATGAAGCCCTAATACGTCAACGAAGATTCAGCATTGAATCCGAGTTTTCCTGTTGCGAGAAACAATGCCTTTGTTCGACGATTCGAACGCCACAGTATTTTTGCAACATTCCTGCGGTAGGAGTATTGGATAACGGCGACTCCAATGGAAGTGGAAGACAGTCGCTCAGTCAGCTCGGGGCTGTAGAGTATAAAAGTCGAAGTAATCAGCACCACTGGGCCGCAAGAAGACTGAACATACTCTTCTGCTCACAATGAAATCACTGGCCCTCCTCTCGCTGCTGGTCTCAACTTTGTTCAGCGCCGGCGCCGCCGACATTCAAGACGGCCAAACTGGTGTTCTAATGGTGTTGCCGCCTCAGCGGACTGACACTGGCCTCAAGCGGATACCAGGCATGTAGATCAGTTGCCAATTAACACTGCCAGGCGCTCATGATATTTGCTTAGATGCTGACCATCCCTTCATTGCCCCTGGGCCCAACGACCAGCGCGGACGTGAGTTTCCTCTGTGGATTTTGAACCGTATTTTAATCATCCATTCCTTTTAGCATGCCGTTCGTATATGCAGTTGAGATGTGTGTTGCGGCTGATATCCTGATGTAGCTGCCATGAATGTTCTCGCCAACCACGGTTACATCTCGCGGAAGTACTGCGTCTTCTTTTCTTGTTAATCTATATTGTTTAACCCTGTCTTTTAGTGGAATTACTAGCTTTGAAGAGATCATTCGTGCCACCGGGGAGGTATGCGTGATATGTTCACTGTCAGAATAATTTGATGTTTAATGCTTCGAAATTCGAAGGGCTTCAACGTCGACGGTGCAGGTCTGGCGGCTCTCAACATCGTAAGGATCGGCATGTCTCACTGCCTTTCCTCACTCATGTGCATGTTCCCCACAGCTGACGCGTGGAAATCCATTCGTGAACAAAATCTCCATTGGCGGCGTCTCTCCATTGGTGCCCCCTCTACCGTTCAAAATCGACGGCCCAGTGACACAAGGCATAGCGAAACACGGCCGGGTAGAAGGTTAGAAATCACTCAGTTCTCACTCTAGATCGTTGCTCTAAAGCTCTTTTGAAGGGGATGGCTCGATGACTCGCTCCGACGCTTTCATCGGCGACAATCGTAACTTCAATCAGACTCTCTGGGACGGGGTACGTTAATTCTTGGTGCACTTTCGAGTTTATCTTGGCCAATAAACACACACTCTTGATAGGACTTGGAACAACTTGCGAAATTCGGCGACGATGGACCGGACGGCCCACATACTGTATTCAACCTGGAAACCCTCGTCGAACTTAAGAGGCAGAACTTCGAGTCTGATCAGGCTCTGGACCCGAAAGTACGTCTCGCATCGACTTTCCCCGATTGTGCTAACGTCGGACCAGTTCACACTCCCCCCTCGTCGCTTGAATGGGGCCTATGGTAAGCTGACTGGAAGATTTATATCGTGCCTGAAGTTACTCAATGTCCTCCAGCTGGTACCAGTCTCATTCTGAGGCGAGTGGTGTTTCAAATGCGAATACGAGCTTCACTAACTCTATTTCCGTCGCTAGTGCCTTTGCAAACGGTATGAAGCTCCTTTGGCCAAGGCAGATCCACTGATGCGCCTACTATTCACAGGAACGACGAAGCAAGCCACTAAACGGATCATGACTTCCTTCTTCATGGAGCAGAGATTCCCCGACAACTGGTTCCGTGCAGCCTCTCCCAATATGAGTTCGGTGATCGGTCAGCTTGCAGCAGCATTGCCTCAGTGGCCCCCGGGCCACAACGATGAGAACGGCATTTTTGTGGTTGATCCCCCGCCACCGGCTCCCTTCAACGTCAGTCTGGTATGTCGATATTTTAGCTCCATGATACCTGGTAGACAGCTTCAATCGTTCACCAGGGATGCACCGTCTACTGGGACCAAAACACAAACGGTATACCGGGAAGTTTGGCCAACGTTACGGGGATCTTCAAGCAGAATGTTGATTTGCTCACTGGTATTATATTTTTCCTTCTTGTCTCAAGGTTTATTGCCGAACACGTTTCAAGGCATTCAGTTCACTGGGTCCGGATGCGCTCAGCGGCTTGCGCCAGCTGGTCCCACAAATATCTAGTTAACATGAATCTCGTGTACAGTCGGATCGAGATAACGAAATGTTCAAGTCAGAAACTCACCTGTATTATTTCGAAATGGAATTTTCTTTTGTTCTGTTATTTGAAATATACAGCCAGTATGTTTTTACCGAAGTCGCGGTGCGATTCTAAGGAAGTCCCTAACCAACACATTCTGGCCGGGATGCAGGGATGCAGAGGTTCAATTACAGCACACACTCGCAGGTTCCTCGTTAAGCACGCAGTGGTGATGCGGTGGAATCTGGGGCCTCTTGTGTACCTCACAATCGCGTTGAACACGCTGACAATGAGATCTGGTGGCAGAATGAAACGCGCCCGCCTTCCCCCCGGAGGCGTACGGACGTCCTGGTTCGAGTCCAGGCCACGTCGTATGGATTTCCCATTCTTTTTGATTTCTCTATTCATGCACTCACTTGTATTGGTCCGGTGCCAACTTAGATGAATGCTTAAAATCTGACTCAACATCCCACTAATTCAGGTTGGACACAATAGGAATCAGACCTGGTGGCGAAAGGTATCGCGCCCGCGTTCCTTAACAGGAAGGACATCGGTTGCTCCGCGGGAAGTCCTGGTTCAAGTCCAGGTCAGGTCATGTTGAGGGTGAAAGCGATTTTTTTTCCGAGGTCCGGTGCTCCGAATTTTTCGCCGATGTGCGATTGCCCAATATATTGAACACATTGAACACCTCGAATCAGCAGGATATATACTAAGAACCAGACCTGGTGGGGAAATGTATCGCGTCCCGGTCCCTTTATCCAGTATGTCTAATTCTTCCGCAGGAGGTCCTGGTTCGAATCCAGGCCAGGTCATATGTTTGTTTGTTCGATCCCATGTTTTTGAAGGCTTTTATTAGTTTTATTCTTTGTAGGCTCTCTTCCGAGAATGCGTACTTGGCTGGAGACAACGAATGCAAGTAGGTATCGGTTGAGGCAAGCTGATTCAACTCTCCGTACAACCAGAACCGGGTGAACGTTAGGAGCGTAGGATATAGTCTCCTCGCCATAGTTCTTCATGTCCTCGAAGCTCAAGCCGTATGTGGTCCATTCTTCCCTCTACTACCGAAAATCTACATCGTTTGTCTAATTGTAATTGTACATCCACCCGCGTCACACTCGCAACCCTCAGAACTTGACCTTGCTGACGGTCCCGTAGAACGCCTTGCCCTGGATCGTCGCGATCTCGAGCTCGAGCGGCGTCGGCTGACGCGAGCCGTCCGATGCGGAGAAGGTGCCCGCGCCCCAGGGGGAGCCTGCGAACGTGTGTCAGATAGGGTCGAAAAGGAGAATACAGCGTTGAAAATAAGGCAAGAAGGGAAGGAAAAGATTTGGCCCGCTCGAAGGAGAGAGAAGGGAAAGGGAATATGATAGGGAAGAAGGACAAAAGAAGCACGCAACGAACGAATCAACAAAACGTGAAGAAGGAAAATAAAACGCACCTCCGTGGACCTCCGACAAACCGGTAAGCTGGCCAAACGCGTGCGCATAGCCCAGGGGGACAAAGATGACACCGTGATGGGTGAGGGTGCTGATGGCGTTCTGGATGGTGACCTCCTGTCCTCCGCCAGGGCCGGCAGTCGAGACGAACGCGCCGGCGTACTTGCCGGCAAGGGCACCGGACGCCCAGAGGCTCGAGGTAGTGTCCCAGAAGGCCTGCGCGTGGGCGGGAAACGCAAATCAGCATGCGAAAGAGAGTAGGAAGAACGAAGATGGCGTACCTTCCACTGCCCGGGGAAGTTACCGAAACGCGTGGGGATACCCATGATGAACGCGTCAAAGGTGGCGAGCGTCGCGGCGTCGATGATGGGGTAGTCGGGCTTGGCGGGCGCGTACATCTTGGTCAGGACCTCCTGCGAGAGCGTCTCGGGGATCCTGACTCCGATCAGTAACTAAACCGGCTTTCGACACTCTAACAACTTACTGGTAGATCGTAGCAGCGCCGCCAGCGCTCTCGATACCGCTCTTGACCGACTCGGCGACTGGCACACGTGTCAGCAACAGCGAGGAGAGATCTGAGGGATACAGCACGCACGCTTGGCGATGTGGCCATACATCGAGTAGATGACAATGGCGATCTTGGGGGCGGACATTGTGAGTGAAGTACAGGAGGAGTTGTGGTGGTTGTGGTGGGGATAAGGAAGAAAGATTGATGCGGTGGGCGCGCCTTTTATGTCCGCCCGAGCCTGGGAGCGAGTGGGAGTCGAGTACCTAAATCGGGAACTAATTCGCAATTCGGTAAAGAAACACGTGATGATGAGTGAGCCCTATACTTGGTTGCGTATCGACGATGACCAGCGATTATTCAGGCATCTGTAGCGTCAGCCTTGGAGGGAGGGAACGGCCAGAAAGGGGTCCAAGGATATTTTTTATGGTTGGCCTGTGAGGACGTGGAGTCTTGGGTTGAATAATGAATTTAAGTTCTGAACATCCGATCAAACGAGAACAAGTTCCGTTCAGTAGGAAGCGCAGAATATTTCTCCTTGTGAATGCCCCCTTGGGCGTCATGAATAAAGTAACCAAAAAGCAACCTGAAGGTTGTTGAATCGAATAAACGCTGTTCACTCGCAAACGGCCCGAGAAAAAGCGTTTGGTTGCGCGTTCGCTGAAAGGAATAACACGACCCTCGAGAAAAACATGAGGGCAGCTCTGACTAGATCTGACTCATCGTCTTATTATCATCACATTATGCATCGCGGCGATTAAGCAGCCCCTGTTAGCTGTCGTATTTGATCTTTTCGCCGCTTCCGGTCAAAGGATTTTTCCGGCGATTTGAATGGAGTCCAGCCCGGTATAAATCAGACGTGGTAGCAGGAGGATTCGTACACACCCTCCTTACCAGACGGAGACCTACATGTAGCATCCAATGGGACTTCCTGGTTCGGGTCGAGGTCAGGACATTAGTGTCAATACTTTTTTTTTACAAATCCAGCGCAAGCTGCTTTACCCGTTTATCAGACAGAATGGATTACATTTGTGTGAGATTATCCCTCGCAGATTTGTCCGATTCTGTTCCAGCATTTCCACCAAACAGCCTTTGTCTTCCTAGCGATTATTTATTTCCCTGTCTATTGGTTGATGCCAAAGACCAGATGAAGTTCCCGTTCTGGAAGATCAGACCTATTGGCGAGAAGATTCCGCTCTCACCCTATGTCGTAGTAGTAGGGGAAGGAATAGGGCTATTTCGTGTTTCGCTGATTTTGAGGAGGTGGAGTCCTCGAATGAGTTCACGTTCCGATGAAACAGCGCTGTGGAGAAACAGAGTTACAGACACACCACCAACCACTCGATCAAGTTCCGTTCAGTATGAATCTGACCTGAAGGCGGAAATGGGCCCCGCCCGCCCTTCATTTGGAAGAAATTCCTGATTTCCTGGCGAGAAGTTTCAACTCCCGGTTCGCATCCAGGTCAGGTAATGTTCTTCGAGTAGAGACTTTCTTCCTTCTTCTTGTTTCAATGCCCTCGATAATTCACTCGGGGATTCGGAACTGACCTTTGGATGGGATCAACAGGTCAATTCAGCCCACATCCAGGTCGCGTACAGTAAGAATCAGACCTGGTGGCGAAATACATCGCGCCCGCCGTCCATGATGTGGTTACTGTGCCGTTGAATTGCGGGATGTCCTAGTTCGAGTCTAGGTCAGGTCGTTAGGGCGTCTATTTCATTTATTTTTTATTCTTGCTTCTGCAACAGGATACAAAGACCCTCAAACCGTGAAACGATGTACATCGAATACTCCCCGTATGATGCCGAGGAGGAGGAGGAGTGCGCGTATCGTAACGCTCCTCCTCCTCCTCCGCATTCTCCTCCTCCCGTCCTCGTCCAGCGTCTTCCACGGCGTCTCCACCCCGCCCCAGAGCTCTCCTCCTCCTCCGTCCCTCCGTGAAACAGTACCCACACTCGCCTTTTCAGGCGCTGCAGCCTGACGAGGGGTGTGAACGCATTATGGGTGGCGGATGGTGTGTCCGGGGGACTGGGCGGGATCTCGTCGAAGGTAGTAGGCGGGATCGTATCGGAGGTACCAGGCGGGATCGAGCCAGGTATTTTCTATTCCCGGCGAGTGCCTTATTTTCCTCTTGCCCACCAATTCTAGCACCACGAAAAGCATGAAATTGTGGGATCCTTTCTGAAATGCAGGTGAGGGTGATGCGGTTTCATAAACTCATCGAACATGTGTCAGAACCAGTATGAGCCCAGGATACACCGCTAAGAAAACGCGAAACAACTCGTGTGTGCCGATACAAATATTTTGAACCATACATTAAACCCGGAGTCCAGGTGGGAAAATCAGAAACGAGAGGAATCGAGAATGTCCTGGGGCGGATCGACCAAAGAGAACAGAGGGAAGTCTGCTCACACGACGCGAGCTGCAGCAGGCGCTTTTAAGGACGGGCCGAGTTCGATGGAACGTCGCGTCTAGATGACGGCCCCACCGGTTCCTTCCAGGGCATTGGTGAGGTTGCCGATCGCGCCGGTCAACTATCAAGTCCGAAGTAGGTTAATATGGATTGGTCGAGGAAGGGGAAGTTCATCGTACATCGGGCTGTCCTATCTGCACCAAGATGAAAATATTGCCGATCGACACGTTCTTCACTTTCACTACGAACCAGGTGTCAGTTTTTTTTTTTTTGAATTGAATTGAATTGAATCGAGAGGTTGAATGGGTACACACCGTCACCGATGGAAACGTTCACATTTCCCACGAATATTGTGATATTCCCGATTTCCGTATCGACATTTCCTGCTCCGGCATTTACATTGCCGCCTCCTATAGTTACGGTTGGGAGTGAGGGATCACTCGAAGTCGTCGTGGGTGGCGATGTGGGCGCGGAGGATGAGTCTTGTCGTCTCATACGCTGGAGGAAGCTCCCGGCATCGGAGATCGCGGTTTGCGTCGCGGAGACGGGGGGAGAGACGGTCGAGGTCGGCGTCGCGGTGCTGGTTGCGATGGATGTGGCGGCGGACTGCAAATGCTCGACCATAAGTACATGGACAGGGAGACGGCATGGCGGTTGGGTAGAAAAGGGACGTACAGATGCGCTGAAGGCGTTGATAGGGCTGGCACCGGGAAGGGGAACCGAGACGATGACTGAGATGTTCCCAATCACGATGTTCTCTATGCTTCAAGAACGGAGAGCTGTCTTAGAATGCATAGTCTCATGAAGGAAAGAAAATATGCTCACTCGATATTGCCCACGGAGATGGTGACATTCGTTACGCTTTCGTTCGAACAATCAAGTTAAAGCCGTTTGCACGCAATTCTAACAAAGGATACGCACGTCAGGTTAATGTTCCCCAACTTGGTCGTGATATTTCCCAACGAGAGTCCGACACTGGGCAGCTAAGTATCCCGAAGGAAAAAAGGTTACGCGTGGAAGACAGATATGTGGCGTAACTCACGTCGACGCCCACACCTCCACCATCCCCACTGCCATCTCCGTCTGCGCGTTTTTCAAGCGCGGTCCGCCGGTCATAGACGCAAAGAGTCGCCTCAGGGGCCTCCACGTCTTCCCCTACACTGTGGCCCGCCGTAAGACAGAGGGACGAGAAAAGACAGCAGAGGAAGAGAGCGAATGTAGCGGGCCTCATCGTGAGCGCGGGGTGGTTGTGGTAGTATGGGAATTGAATACAACAAAAAAAGCGGCCATTGTATTATATGTGGTATCTAGGTCTCGTAATTCGAAGAATGATGCTTACGACAATGCGATTGATACCGAGAATGATAGAGAAATATTCAAATAAGTCGGGGAATGACGACGTGAATGACGAGGTTCGAACTGTGGGAAGAATTGGCTGATGGTCCGTTTCTATGGCAATATAAATTGAATTTGTCGACTACGCTGTTTCATTTCTTCTCCTGTTTCTGGTCGCTTGGATAACTGGGCTTTTTTGGATGGTTGCCGCCGAATTTGGACAACTGAACGGCCTGGTCGATGCGGTCGTTGAGCGCTACAGAGGAGCAACAGCTATTGATTGCCTTGTCGTCAAAACTAGCCGGAATTAGGAAGTTAGAACTTAGGAGTCGTTAGACACGTGTTGGAAAGCTGCATTTGCAACACTGCGCGGGAATTTGGATTTGTAGCCCACCACATCGAGGCTATATACGCTCATAAACAGACCTGGTGGCGAAATGCATCGCGCCTGCGTTGCTTTATTCAGGTTTGTCAGACCAAGTCTCGCAGGAAGTCCTGGTTTGAGTCCAGGTCAGGTCATGGCGCAGAACAGCCAAATTTTGGACCCTTCTTATTTTTTCTGCTTTCCATGTAGTGCTGGCTTTCTCTGTGGGTGCGAATGTTCCTTCCCTTTATCGTTTCTATAACCCACAGTCAAGTTGAATTCAACCCTCCATATTTAGGTTGGATTTAGCAAGGCGCAGTCGAGTCCCGCAGAATGTCCTGGTTCGAGTGCAGGTCAGGTCGTTGGCCATGAGTTCGGTTGATTTTTATGTTTGCTTCTCTCGCCTCATTTCAACCGGATACAAAACCCCTCAAACGGTTTGATTAGTTTGTCAATAAGTACAGAGTCAATCCCATGTACATCGAATATCACCGGCAGATGTACAAGCCTCGTCCCACCGGGTCACACTGTTCGTAGACTCCCATTTGCACATCGAATCCTAGGTGAAATAAATCCTCAGTCGTCGTGCACCGCATCGTAAAAGTCATCTTCCTCCTCCTCCTCCCCATCCTCATCGAGCGCCTTCCACGGCGTCTCCACCCCTTCCCACAGCTCGTTCTCCACCTCCTCTTCCTCCGGCCCTCCGCGGAACGGCACCCACGCTCGCTTTTTCAGACGCCGCAGCGTGAAGAGTGGTGTGAACGCTTTATGTGCGGTGGGCGGTGTGTTCGGGGTGGTGGCCGGGATCGTATCGGAGGTAGTAGGCGGGATCGTATCGGATTCAGAGGTACTGGGCTGAATCGTATCTGGGGTGCGAGGCGGGATGGCGCCCTGGCGGAAGACGCCGCCGCCGGTCTGGGACCACCATGTCACACCAACCTCTCCCCCCGCGGAGACGAGCGGGGCGACGGGTAGGGGCGTGGTGGAGAGGAGTGCGAGGGAGAGGGTGTCTTCCGCTGAGAGAGAAAAATGGGTAAGTAATCTGGAGAGTGCTGGAAAGACGGATAGAAATGGATAGAAGTGATGGAAGGGTAGACAAGCAAAAAAACCAGAACTGTACGCGAAGAAAGAACAGGTGACAAAGCCAACGCACATTTACTCGACAGATACATGCTATACGCTCGGCACTCGCTCACCTGCGTCACGACGCATGTATCCTTGTCCTTCATCGTCGGAACGGCCAGCAGCTGCTTCAGAAGCGCGTTCGGGTACGAAACGAACTTGCTCTGGGGCGCGGCCATAACGAGCAGTGCACCAGTCCGGCCTGTCCCAAACTTCCACTGGCCCTTGAGCGAGGCTTCCGCAATCCCGGGGACAGACCTGTGCGGGTTGAGAACATCGATTGGATATTCAATACACCATGATAAAAAAAAAAAGCAGCACGCACACCTGTGGCCCCAAGCTGAACTGGCGCTCTGTTGTGGTTTCCGATAGGATGATCATATCCTCCTCCGGCGCACCAAGTTCTGGAGGGTGCGCCGCCGCTATTGCCGCAATTTCTGCGGTCTCTGGCGTCTTGTAGATGTTTCCCTCCTTTCCGAAGATGCCTGTCTTCTTATCGATCTGCCCGTAGTCCCCGACCTGTTCAAGATCAACACCCGTAGAAAATTACGGTTAGCAACACTTCTAAACATTCCTCCCGGGGCAGATAGCGCTGAGAAAAAAGCGCTCGCCTCGATCGGATGCGACGGGTCCCAGTTTGCCCATTTCGACGACTTGGCGTGGATGAGGTCGATGTATTTCCTGGATGCAATATCCTCCTTCATCTAGTATTGCGGTAACAGAGAGTGTTGCACTTGTAGCCTGAGCGATGAGGATGAAGAGAGACAAGGCCGACAGCAAGGACCGCGCATGTCGGGAGGCAATGCGGCTCACTGGCAGCTGTGGCAGTGTCGCTGGTGGCAGTGCGCGACAGCCTTTTTTTGCAATCAACTTCCACCACGTCTTCTGCCTCCTGTGTTGGCGAAGTGTTGGACAAACACTCTCCAAACTCCACCCTCTCTTTTCCCTTTCTTGAATATTCGCTCTGCGTCTTCGAAACTTCAAACTGGCGGGCAAGCTGGCGGGAAAAGAATCTCTGGCAAATCGTTGATTCCTCAAGGATGTACCAAGGATAAAGAATGTGTTTTATCTTTAGCTGCCGTTGCTGTCACGTCTATCTTGCTGCGAATTCGTTATCTACAGCAATGGCAAACTGTATGATACCATCTCTACTTTGAACGACCGACTCTTTCTTCACCAAATCTCCTAGTCGATTCAAGGCTTCGATCGAAATCTCCAGATTGTACTTCTTTTCAAGCTGTGTGGCAATTAGCCCCCAGAATACGTCGAACCAGCAATCAAGGAACAACTACAACTGGACGGCAAGGATCGGATCATCCGGGCGATCTTGGAACCGGACCGAACGGGGCTGCGGCAGTGCGACACCGCCACCTTTCCTTTTGCGCTGCTCCTCGCACTGGCAGTGTCGCTTGCTCTTCCCATCCACCAGCTGGGCTGGTTTCCCCCATGCGTGGCTCCCCATCTCGCT